GGCGAACGCTGGCGACCGGTTAAACTGACGGAGAAGGTTTCTCGTGTATTTTCAGTGGAGGACTGTCGTGCTCTCAGTTTATTTTGCGCACTCTCCCATAGAGTTCCATGCAAATTCGATTCCAATTTTTTTCTTCTCGCCGCAGCGCCATCTGTCGCAAATCGGGGGTACCCGCAAGCCACCCGCAAGCAGACGAGTACACAATCCGGTCACGGTGCTGCGGTAGGTGTCTATGGGCCGTTTCCCCACCTGTCTATCTTACACCCTGGTGTAGACGCAAAGCAAGCTGCCTTTGTCTCTGCTCGCACTTGGAACGCGTTCGGACGAAGACGCCGAGCCCAGGACGTCGGCGTTTGACGTTCGAGTTCATTTCGAAGGGTGAGTAGAAGCATGGCCTCCTATATACTGACAAGGCCTGGCAGATCGCCACGAGAGGCGGCCGCCGAAACGGAAAAGGTGGAGCGGCAGACAACGGATGAGAGGAGAACCACGTGACTGGCGCCCCGCTGCGGCGAGACGCCGAGACTCACTTCTGCCGAGAGAACAAGTGTGTTTCGGGTCCTCGCCGCAGCAAAAGCTGTGCGCTGATGTCCAGGTTCCCCGAGAAAGAGCTCTTTGATGCTCTGTGCTACCAGACCCTCCCGCTCCAAATCTGCGACCGGGCACTCTATGGCTCTATAGTCGAACTGCCAAGCTTTGTGGGTATAAAGGAAGCTATGGTAGAGGCAAAAGCGGCTGCTAGCTTTGCGTCTACCCACAATTCATTCCAACCAGAGCCCGGCGTTCTGGCGTCTCTCCCTGCACTCTCATCTCCTCCTCTCCATCGGTTTCTACCCGCATAACGAATGAATTCTCCTTCGAGCGTGATTTACTGCGTCTGTGTTGGCCTTTTCTGCACAAGAGAAAACTGCATCTGGTGATTGTTGCTTGTAAGCTCATTGCTCGTAAAAAAAATATCACTACGCCGGTGCTAAGATTGCCAGCGCCCTATTTTTGTGGTGTTCACAAGCAGAAGGAGTCTAAGAGTATTTCTGTAATACCGTTAGGGTGTCATAAGATTGCGTATGGGCATGCTTATTTCTTTTCTTTTTTTTTTTTTTTTTAAAGAAGATTTGGACAATTTTTTGGGTGTCCGATTATCACCCTTTAGGGTTTTACGGGAAAACCTCAAGGTTGTTGGAGGAACACTGAAACAAGCTGATTTACGCCCTTGATCGTGTAAATAAGATTGTACACCCTTAATGGCGTAAATGCTTACAATAATAAATTACCCCGCCGGAAAAAAAATATAATTAAACTTGCTGTTTTTCCATCGCGGCGGTGCATGTTAAAGCACCGCTGCGATGCGAGCCGAAGTTTGGTTTTCCTATCCAGAACATAATCTAATATTTATAGTCGCCGGGTACAAACCAAGTACTACAGTTAATTAGCAAGTTACGATCCCGCGCACTGCTCGATCTTGTTATCAACATCACGGCAACGCGCGGTCGCCTCGCCGTGCTTAACGGCAAAGATTGATCAAAACACTCGAAGTAACTAATAAAGTATTCTAACCACGTGACCACTATAATAAAAAAAAAACGAAAGCGATGGCAAAAGAAAGAAAGAAAAAATATAATGAAGGGGAGAGCGCACTAATGACCAAGTCCAAACGTCACGATGAAATAATAATAAAAAAAAAGAGCAGCTCCAGACTGCCTTTTTCACTTGTTTGTCTGAACGGGGTCCGCCCTCTAAATCTGGGCAGTCGACGGCGAACATAAATTGATAATCGATAAATGTGCGGACTCTGCGTGCACCGTCTCCGCGACCTGGAGTCTGCATACCGAGGCGGCCTGGCTCGGATCCGCAGCCGACCTTGGGGTCGGGTTCGCGATGCCGAGGGTTAAAATCGAGGAGGACGCCACCGCCACCGCACGACTGCGCGCTCCGTCTTTCTTTACCGCTTGCGGTCGCGCTTCGCAAGAGCGACCAACGGCGATTTAGAGACACCGAGAGCCTAAAGACACTGCTAATTCAGCCTACAATAGACTCTCTGGAGAGTGACACCGTCCGAGATGTGACATTTCCTTGTAGGACGACCCTGTCACGTTGATCATACAAAAACTGTCTGCACATATCATCGATGCGCACGTATGTACGAATCTAATGTGCTTCGCACATCCTGGGGGTGCGTCCGCACATAATTCTGTCGTCATGTCTACAGATAAACTCCGTGTCTCTCATCTAATCCCCTTTCCTTTGTTTCCCATTTCGATCGCCAGGCCCACGCCAGTTTTCGCCGCACGCTCGGACAGCCAGTAGGTCCCCCCACTTCTCTGCCTCGCGTCTCTTCCGCCGGGTGGCGTCACCATCGCCCTCCGCAGTTGCGTAGTGAGCCCAGATTTCAGAGTACTTCCGACTGCTTGATCGGAGTCACGCGGCTTATGGGCAGCGTCTGCAATGTGCACCGAGGAAAGTACACGCAACTGTTCATCGTCTGCGATCGTTTCCGCCTCTTCGGCCACCGCTTTCTTCCTCGCCCCCGGACAAACGCGACGCACGCTTACTTCCGACCAATCTGCGCGGGAAGCGTCCGCCATTTGGTTGGAAACGCTCTTCCGTGGTTTGAGTTGCTCCCTCTTAGAAATCTTGGCTCTCTAGGGTTGCGAATGCGGGGAAGGAGCTTCTTCGACAACGAGCGTCGGTTGTAAGCCTCGCCAAATTACTTCCGTTGCGGCAAGACTTATCTTACGGCCCACGCCGCGTGTTTGTAATGCGGTCCGGCCGAATGGGCAAAGAACAAAAGGAAAAAACAAGGACAATAGAAAAGCCATGGGTTTATCGCGCAGTTTGAAGACTGTACGTTGTTGCCGACCCGGAAATCTTATCCCGATTGCCCTCGGGCTTGAGTGAGTGAATCGCAATAGAGGTACGTTGCAACAAAGTTGGGCTAAATGGTCTCTTCTATTTATTTTTTGTTTGTTTTTAACGTGAAACGTTTTTTGGCTTGTTTCTTCGGGTTGCGCGAAGCCGCATTTGGTGAAGTCGTGGCCCATAATGCAACACTGCGCGCGTTGCATTGTGGGACGTCACCAACCTACACACCAACTCAGTTGCTCCGTTAAATTTAGCGGGGAAGTCGAATTGGTGTAGAGGTCACGTGACATCAGGTCACGTGATGTCAATTTCCACGCTGAACTTAGCGGGAAAACTAACGTCCCGCGATCTACACACCGATTCAGTTTCCCCACTAAATTCAGCGGGGAAATCGACGTCACCTTAACTGATGGCATGTGACATATATACGGAAATTTAGTTTCTGCTCAAAATTTAGCAGAATAATTAGCGTCACATGACCTACCTACCAACTCAGCTTCCCCGGTGAATTTAGCGGAAATATTGAAGTCACGCGACCCGATCTCACATGACCCATACAGCCACATCAACTTCCCTGCTAAATTTAGCGGAGAAACTGAATTGGTGTGTAGATTTGCGACGCCCTATGTACGTCCCATTGTGTCGCATAGGTTTTACGCATGCAACAAAATTGCCCGGGAATTTGACATACAATGTTTTGTTTTATTTTATTTTATACTGATAACCTTAGGTGCACTGCGGTTTTAGTTAAATCTCGAAACCACTTGGGGGGCAAAAAAAAAAAAATAGAATTATGTTTTAGCGTAAGTCAAATGTACATCGATTCTTAGAGTCACCGACAGGTTCAGAAATTGTACGGCGTCGCTCATTGCGTTCGGAGATTCTAGCTTCGTGAGTGGTTGGCTGCCGAGCGATACTGAGATGCTAATGAGATGCTAAAGAGTTGCTCGGGTCTCGCCACGCCTCCTGTTTCTTGGGATGTCCGCGAATGTAGGTGACGTTCATACCGTGAGTGTCCACACACGCATTATTCACCGCGCCGGAATTGGTTTTAGGCGATTTTAGAATGCGCCCGAGAAGATGACAAATACCGTGACGTTGCGTATCTGGTGCTCTTTCAACGGCCCCATAGGCTCGCCTATAGCGTCGGCTGCGCACCGAATCAAGACGCGGTCAGGCTGCCGTTACATCGCGCAAGGGACGTCCTGCAGACACTGTCCGCGGCGTGTTTGTTTGTTGCATGACCTTCGTGTCACACTGGTCATACAAACACTGTCGGTAGACATGATCGAAGGGTATGTGAAGCAATTTTGTCATCGCGTCTGCGGGGAAACTCCGCGCCTTTCGTGTGATGCACGCGAGCAGTGCGACTGCAAGCATGGCCTGCTCTCTACTCACAAAGCCTGGCAGTTCGACGACGGAGCCATAGAGTGCCCGGTCGCAGATTTGGAGCGCGGAGATCTGGTAGCACAGAGCGTCAAAGAGCCATTTCTTGGGGAATCAGGACGTCAGCGCACAGCTTTTGCAGCGGCGAGGGCCCGAAACACACTTGTTCGCTCGGGAGAGGTGTGTTTCGGCGTTTCGTCGCACCGGGGCGCCAGTCACGTGGCTCTCCTCTCGTCCGTTGTCTGCCGTGCTCCACTTTTTCCATTTCGGCGGCCGCTTTTAGTGGCGATCTGCCAGGCTTTGTCAGTATATAGAAGGCTATGCTTTAAGGTAACACAAAGTATACAAACTTTTTTTTCTTCGTAAGATTCATTGATTGGTACCAACGAGAGCATACATCTGGGAAGAAGAGATGCCCATGACGACTGTGCGGATCGATGAAAGATGATTTTGAGGGTTCAACGTGGATGAGCAAAAGGTTTTGTTCGTCACGTCAGCCTCGCTCACGCAGTGTTCGATTCTCAACATTGATGTCTGGCGACTCCATCGTCCCCGTTTTGTTTGAACCCCCCCTGTAGCGTCCACTTTGACCTAAGTTACGTAACAACGTCGTTGTTTTGCAGTTCACGACACAGGCAGATAAATCATCGGCCCCGCTTCTCGTCGTTCGAAAGAAAACGGCGGCGAGAATCGACGAGACCCGAACGATATTTCACCAGGAGCAAAAAGGAGAAGTGCAAACAAAAACAACTCACGTTGCCGTATTCCTTTTCGACCGTGGCTCGAATCTTTGTGAAATTTCTGCAAAAAAAAAAAATAAAGTGTGAAAGGTTAGAGAGATGGGGAGACAGACAGAGAGAACGGTCAGAGGAAATGAAAGGACCGAATCTGAATAAATCGTTCCTCTGACAGGCGAGATATATAACAGCTCACGCGAATCAAAAGCGCGGCCACACGCACGCCAGCAACGAAAACAACACAAGCAATCACCGACGCCCACCGATCAAGTGGGCTTCGCCGAACGTCAAGAAGCAATTCCATTCTCGAAAACGAAATTCCCCAATATCCCCTTCTCCCTGTCCCCACACCTTCCCCACACCCCGCACCCTAACAAAAATATTAAACGCAACAAAAAAAAAAAAAGTCAGATCAAATCACAATGCACGCACGGTTAAAAACGTTTATGTATACCGTATAGGGCATAATCTGCTTACTATATAATTCTATCTGAGAATTCATGGAAATAGGGAAAAGGGGAAAACCGGAACAGGGCGGGAGGAAAAGGGGTGGGGGGGGGGGGGGGGGGGGGTAAACTCGTTTGAAAAGGCAGAGTATAAGAAAGAAAAAGAAACGTCTGCGCCCATTTGCGGGAGCGGCGGTGTTTGGTTTCCTTCTTTTTAAAACTATTTCTGATTTTCGGTGCCTCAAATGCAAAATTTTGATTCTCGATCTTGTGGCGTTCTCTCGGCACTGTACTGAGCTTTTTGTCTTGTGGAGGTAGTAGCGTATACCGTAATATCCCGAGCAATAGCACACCTAAAATCGAGAAAAAAGCTGGGTGAAAATAAGTAGTAGACTAAAGGCCGGTTCAGACACTTGCGTTTGAGTGCGTTTGACTGCGTTGCATCGAGAACCGAAAGCGAGTCACCGGCACATATATACTTCGTACGAAGCGTGGAATTCATTTCAAAAAATCATCTTGGCACGCGATATAACCAGCAAGGATGTCCCGGTTTCTCGCTGCCGCAACGCAGTCAAACACAACTGTCTGAACCAGGTTTAACTTTCGAAGCGCATTGGAGAAAAATTAAAAAAAAAAAAAAAAAGTGCTTTTCTTAATTGATGTGTCTTTGTCAACATGTTATCGCGGCAAGGGGCAATGAAACAAAGGTGACTGTACTTCCCAGTCAGCAATGTTCGCTTACACCCTGCGATAGGTAACAGACGCATTTACGCCAAGCTCATCATTGATCCGAACACCACGATTGCTAGGAGTGCGGATAGCGCAAGTTCGTCTGCTTCTTTTGCTGGCGTTGTGGTGACGTCAGAAAGACGCAGAGCTCTGATTGGTTCTGAATAAAGGATAGTGGGTAGAGCACAAGGCAGCTTGCTTTGAGGTCTACCCACTATCCTTCAATCAGAGCCAATCAGAGCTGGCCGTTTTTCTGACGTCACCGCAACTCCTACGCTGGAAGCGGACGACTTGCTCTCCGGATAACAAATCAAGCCAGAAATAGGGGTGCGTTACCTTTCAGGGGTGGCGCATATTTCGGGAATTTACGGTAAGAAGAAAGGCTGGTCCGCAGATTTGCGTCTCAGCGTGATCGACCCCGTCGCAACGGCGTGTAAACGTTCACGACGAGAGAACGCATTGACACGCTGGCGCCATCTTTCGGGCGTATATAGCCCTGGAACTCAACCGGTCTGCTAGACCGAAGCCACGGTGTAAGATACACTCTTCAGGTGAGGACACGCCGGGGCTGCACGCGCGTCGCGTGGAATCAGATAGCGTTCGTTCGACGGGCATCCGAAAGGCTGCATCATTCCGCGGCCACCGTGCCCGCGGCTGGCAGCGTCGCCGGCGGCCAAACGGTGAAACTGTGTGAGAGCGAAAAAAATTATCTCGTTGCCATGACACCCCGGTACACCGTGGTCTTTCTGCACGTGCGACAACTTCGCTGGAGCTCTGCGCGTGTAATAGATGAGGCGGCACGAGCCGTCTTGTACGTGCCCACGGGTCGACGAGTCACCTGCCGGCGCCGCTTGAAACCACAGTGAGAGGGAGTCAAGAGCGAACTTTATCGGGCACGTCGCGAGGAGCGCGCTGTCCTCACCTGAAGAGTATTATCGTACACCGTGACCGAAGGTATTGCAACATTCGCCACGTGCAATCTACACGCTATCTACGATAAATGGTCGCCTATAACGTTACCAAAAATAGTTAAAGACCGCGCCCAAGAGAATTAAGCGTAAAATGTACGCAGATCGGAAGTGTTTCGAGGCTATTGCGACAGATGGCGCCACTCGTCGTTAGCGTTCACAAGTGCTTGCAACGTAGTCGTTCACACTCGGGCGGAAATGTGTGAGCAATCCAAATGAGGAGCGCAATTCACGTCCGACGCGCGGGCCGCGATAGGGAGGCCCGCGGCATAGCTTTTATCGATCGCCGTCTTTTTGCGCTCGCAAATCGGTGCTCGGCTTTTATCTAACGTGACACCCATTAGACGTTCGAATTTAGGTTTGGAAAAACAGACGGGGACTCTCGTCTGTTAGATGCATAGTGAAATAGGTGTCAACGATTGGTTCTCACATTCAAGTGATTTAACTGCAATCCAAGCAGGCCCGTAGCCAGGAACTTTTTTCGGGAAAGGGGAAGGGGGGGGGGGGCGTGATTTTAGGGACAAAAGGGCATTAGTCGAGCTGCCGGGGTCCCGAGGTCTTTCTGACCAAAGGAGAGAATAGTGGGCCTATAATTTGCGGGCTTGTCACCATTCGAAAGGCTTATAAAATCTTCCTCCTGACGCGGTTTCAAAGATCGTCGTCGTGGCTGAAAAATCGCAAGCGCAGCCGTGACGTACTCCCGTCTTTGCGTGCCTGTCGGGCGCCGACTGTTGAGTGCGGCGGCCTCTACTTCTTTGGGACGCTCCCGGAGCCTGTCGTTTACGCAGCGAACCGTTTGGCCGATGTATTCAGCGCCGCAGGACACAAGCATGGAAATATCTGCTCAGTCTTGCACGTGGTGAGCATATGTTTCTTGGTGTAGCGGGGCGGAGGGAGCTCCTGACTGCTTACCGACTTACACGGGTCTCCCAGGCCCTCGACTTCCCTGTGAGAACTGCATGTGTCAAATCTGTCTGTAGGCAAGGGACTGAAATCGGTGGGCCATCGTGTGCATGTACATATCTCAAACCGACGTTTTGGAAAAAGCTAAAAATAAAAAAGGGGGAGGGGGCGCCCCCCCCCCCCCCCATACGCACACCAAACTTTTGGGGAGGGGGGGAGGGGGGGACGGGTCCCTAAGGCCCCCCTGCCCCGTCCCCCTGGGTACGGTCCTGAATCCAAAGTTCAATCGTGGCGCACACAATTCGTCGAGCGCGGGTCAATTAGTCCACGAACTGACAGCTGGCAACACGCGCACAAAAGGAAAAAATGCGTGTGGCGTTTAGTCTGCCGTGGTTGCCTATGACGTTACATTTTTCTTATTTCTCGCTAGGTAACGTTGACAAAAAATATATGCGTTAGAAAACGTTTATTGCCAAAGCATCGTATGCATACCACACAGTACACGCAGAACAATCAAAGTCAGTACGTTGCTAAAGCAGAAACTTGGGCCATTTTTCGTCTTTTGTTGTTTTTGAGAAAATCAATGTGCGATAACAAGGACCCTTTTTCAGGGCTCGCTGGGTGCATGGGCCAACTCAGAGAAGGGGGGAAAAGGAAAGGCGCCATCTTGGGGGCCCTCTCTCGTCCGCTCAGTCGCTCAGACAGTGCTGCATGTCCAGCTCGACTCCGCCCTCTATTCTCGAGGCTTGGCTTCATAGTCGTCATGCCTCACCACTGCGCAGCTGTAGGATGCACAAATAGCAGCAAAAATGGCTAAAATGCCACTTTTTGTAGAGTTTCAGCAGCCCTTCGCGGGTGGTGCGCCAAAGCATCCGATGTCAAACATCCCACCCTTTTTGCCCCGCTTTCAAAAGCCCCCATTTCAGAATCCTACGAGTCGAATCCTTCGTTCAAGTGGCCGGGTCCTCAACGTGACGGCAGGACATTCTGCTTTTAACTAAAAGACAGTAAGTCTGCACGCGAGCCTATGTAACGTAACCATGCCGTATCCGGTACTCAAGTAAAGAATAAAGGGATAGAGCTTTCCCTTTTTCAGTCGGGCACTAACAGATTTACGTTTTTTTTAACGTAAAACATTTATAAGAAAAACATCAGTCATCGACAAAACATTTAAAACATACGAAATGGAGCCTGGTCATAAAAATTTTAAACGATATTGTGCCCAACGTGACCGCAGATCGCTCTGGCGATTGGTGCGCGTGACATGTCACGTGCGAGATGGATGGTTGATTGTAGGAGGATTCCTTGCAGGCTTGCGCGCGCTCCGTCCGGTCGGTTTTATCCGATCGAAGGCTAGACGCCTTTGCCAACCGACCGTGAACTCCCCTGTTTGCAAGGCCCACTTCGTCGGAGGTTTATAGACGTGCTGAATTCAGAGAGATTGTTTCTAACGTACCGTTCCTTACTTTTTGACGGTGCACAAGCGAGCCTTCAAGACGTCAAAACCGTCCGAATTTCACCCCGTCCGAGTTTGTTTGCACCGCCTCGTACGCTCACGCGGTACACAGGACGGCGAAGTGACGGAACGCAGTAAGTTTGAATACCTCAGGCGCTCAAGGAAAGTGAAATCAGCCATTTGTAGTGGCCGAGCCTCATAAAGGGAGCTCACGAGCTCTGCACAAGTTAGGTAGTTGGGTCAGGATTGACACCGCGGTCGCCATTCCTTTATTTAAATAGCAGTCTGCCTTGAAAGCCGACCTTATTTTTCAGTGGCTTGCACGACGCGACAGTGACGATTAAGTGACTCCGAGTCGAAGGTTATAGAACCCATGCGGCGTCGGCAATCGATCCATCTTTGTTTCGTTAATCGTCCAGGGTCGTCCTTAGACACTCCGAAGAAAATATGCACGCAAAGCGTCGACAGATAGACACGTTTGAAATGGCGAAAGACGGAACAACGCCACCAGAGCCCACACGTAGCCACACGTAGCCACACGCACCGAGAGACACGCCAGGCG